TTTGTATATATACAAATATAAAGCTTTTGTGTTTATATATTCAATGTCCTTTCTGTGAAAATAATAAATTAATTTTTTTTTTTTAATGGTATGGGGCCTCTTACACTCGTCATATCATATGGCCTCAGAATGCCATAATCCGGCCCTGGTTAAAGGCTAGCAAAGAGGCAAAGCTTTAACTTTAACACATACTGAACTGGTCAAGTACACACTGCATGGTCTATAACTGGAATCTCAGAATGTTCTAGTTGGCATGTATTGGCTAGCACATGCTGGCAACACACCCTTTATCCTGTCCAGTCAAGGTCTGAGCTGTCACTAAAGTCAGCAATTCTGACTCTGAATATGAAGGAGGAGCAGGTCTGTAGGATAAGAATGTGCTTTTTTCTGTAGTCAGTTTTCATAGTGGCACTGCAGTTTAAGATTTACTTTAACTTTTTATACGTAGATGGTAAACGCTTTGGGGAAAGGACGGACTTTTTGTTCTGGGTTCGGACAGCACCTAGTACAATGGGATCCTGGTCCACGACTAGTGTCCCTAGCTGCGACTGCAATACAAATAACAATAAATTATAAGAATGTTGGATTGCAAGGCTATAGTCAAAAATGCATATATCCCGAAGGTTTGTGTTGAATGCCCCTAGAATCATTCATGACTACATTTTCACTAACTTCTTCAATGTTTACGGGTCACCTACATGAAAATCCACAGGTTCTTTCAGCTTCTCTTGCGACTCTAGGCTAAGTTTTCAGAAGAGGCTAGTGATTTTCGGTGCCCAACTTGACACACACTGAATGGACCTAATATTCAAGAATGGGTCCTGAGCACTTTCTGAAAATCAAACTCCTTTCACCGTGTGCCAGAGGAAATGTCACCTACAGTCAGTGGTCACTTTTGAAAATGAAGGTTTCCATCCACAGAATGCATCATTTTGAGGCATCACAGATCCCGGAAGAGTCAATAGTTGTATGGAGACCTCTGCTACCTGTGAAGTCCCAAAGCGACACATTCTGGAGAGTCTAGCGGAGTCCATAGAGGCAGTAGAATTTCACCCCAGGGCCCTGAATTGAGCAGGGGAACATATTTTGTTTTTGTTAACTATATGAATGTTAGAATTACTAAGATCCCAGTGGCACTTGTATACGATGCTCACAGGGGCCAGATAAACTCCTCAGAGGATAGTTTTCTGATAGTATTAAAAGGATAATGTCACATTATTGTTATTACAACAGCATCAGTGATGCCATGGGAGGCAGGTGGAGCCCCCCTTTAGGGAGGCTAGCCCCCAGCTCCGCCCCTTCCACCCACAGCTGGAGGCCCAAGACCCCCTGCCCCCCCCCCACGGTTGGAGCCACAAGACTCCCTTCCCTGCCCAGAGAAGCCCTGAGCACCCCCCACTCGGCTGGAGGAGCTCCGGGATGGCCAGAGCCCCGAGCCCATCCCCCAGAGCACCAAGCTCCACCCGGCCCCCGAAACCCCAGGCTGGCTGAAGCCCCAAGCACCCCCACACACACCGCCTGGAGGAGCTCCGGGCTGGTCGAAGCCGTGCCTTCCCTCCCCGGACCAAACCCGCCCAGGGGCAAAGCGTTGCTTAGAAGACGCTTTTGATATGTCCCATGCGGGTTCCGGGGCAGCTGAGGAGGCGGTATGTGCCTCCTCAGCCGCCCCAGAACCTGCATGGGGCATAATAAAGCAAAAACTTTGCCACCAAACCCCACAACTGGGGGTCTGGCGGCTGTAGCAGAGCCTCCCCTGGCTTATAATACCCGCCACCCATGAGTGAGGGCAACCTTGCTTTTACCCGATGGCAAGGTAAGTCAAATGATTCACTGACCACAATAAAGCTGCTCAGTTTAAATATGAAAACTCTTGTTCTCATTTCCAGGGCTTTGCTGTAACCACAATGTGACCACACTTATTGAGATGATATACACCACCAAGGGGCTATGATCCACCACTGTTTTTATTGAAACCAAATTTGCTTTAGAGGACTCATTTTTGTGCTTTTGGGTTGCAATGGCAATGGATACGATTTTGTCATGGTAAAATTAGGCAAAATTCATAGAACAATCATAGGAAAAAAGGACAAAATGAGAGTCTGATCACAGCAGGGCTGACGTCGAAGCTGGAGTCCCACTGCCCAGGGCTGACAGCCTGAACCTCACTGCCCAGCGCTGAAGCTGAAACCGAAGAAGTGATGGAGATCTATTAAAGTCAAGGAATCTGTAATCTCCATGATCAATTCTATCCTTAGTAATGGCAGATGCTTTCACTCTGATAGGGTAGGTGGTACCATCGAAACAGCCTACCAACACAAACACAGGCCACCAATATAGTGTCTTCTTATTTCAATCAAGCACAGTCCAGTTGCTTGGACACCAGACTCAAGGTGTGAATCTCAACTGCCTTGAGCCTTGCAGTCATTTATACTTGGGCAGAGAGAGCATAAAGTGGGGGTAAAACACCACCGTTCTGACTGGGTAGCATTTACATGCACTTTGCATTCATCTTCCAAAGGAGTAAATGACTAGACAAGGTACAAGGCAGTGGAGAACAAAGGCCTGGGTGTCTGGATAGCTGGAATCTATTCCCACCTCTACCACAGATTTGCTTTGAGACCTCCAGCAAATTATTTCACTGTGCCTCCAAATCAAAGTGTATGCTTAGGCTTGGTAGAATTTAATAATTTTGACAGGTAATATTGTGTTTTTATAAGTATTCTTTCTCAATTTTTCTAAATTTAAATTTTCAGAGGTGGGAAATTATGGCAGGTCAGACAATTATTTAGTGACAGACGTTGAGATTCAAAAAGTTAAAGCTTGATAACGGTTAAAACACAAATTGTCAACATCACAAATATACAGTAAGTACCCTTAAACTCTAATAAGTTCTAAAGCAGCATTTTTCTTACCTTGCCTCTCTATAAATATCAATGATCATTGATGGAAATATTTTTGCCTTGGTTTGCATTTGGTGAAATTGACAAAATCTAACCTTTACATGCATATATAAGCTAGTGCTAATGGACCTGATCTAACCTCTACCGAGGTCAATGGGAGATTTTCCATTAAAAATCAGGCAGTGCTAGATCACAACCTCTGTTAGAAACAATCAATGACTAATGACTTAAATGGTACTTATCTTGTACTGTCTCCTAGACCATCCTTGGACAACTTTATCATCATCCAGAATTTTGGCCTCATCAACAGACAGGCAATATTGTATTAAACAGTGACTGGATTATCCAATAATGATTGATCAGAATTAACTGATAGGAAGGGTGGAAGGTGTATTTATGTTTAATTAGCAGTGGGTCTGAACCACATAGCACAGATCTAGATAGTCCCAATATTCAGGCCCAAGGTGTTGGTTTGACACATTATAGAGATTAAGACGGGGTATGAAGTCTGGATCTAGCTCCAAACTTCCCCAAAGTCTGGGAAGCCTGATTCAGTCCCATTTCTGTTTTTAATAAGAATGAACTGGTTCCAGAGATTTAGCTCAAAGAAAAAGGATGCAATTAACCGGTAATTGATTTCCATGAAAGGCCAAGGCACTGCCCTGGCCAATTAAGTAACTCTATCAACACACTAACAGTTTGGTCAGATCAGCCTTTCTGTAAAATTCGATCTTGCAGAATATTTAGGTCACTTCTCAGTGGGAATACAGCCTAATGGAAACAGCATGATTTTACAGAGCATTGATTTTCCAAGGTGCTGTACTGGGGGAATTATGAAGAGCTGTTGTACTGTGTATGTGTAATTTGTGCTACTTGCCCTTTCAATGTTAATGCTCCATTAATAATGCATCTGTGTAGTATTGTGGATTGCATTAATGTTCCACTGTTATTTCTTGATTACTCACTATTCTCTCTGCACTGCCAGGCGAGGATCCAAAAGCAAACAGCTGCTGCAGTATTAGAACAGGTTGGAGCCCCACCAGAGAGTCGGCATAGCACTGCACATGTAGGGAAGGAGAATCTCATCTGCATGCCATGGGCTGGTTTAATGGTCCACTCACAATGAGACTGTAAAAGCTTTATATGTTGACTGGGCCAGTAATCCTAGACTCTTCATCCCACAGTACAATCTGCAGTTCTACCCTTTTGCTGGATCTAAACCACGTACTGGAAACATTATGACTAAAAGCTTGCTAATCACTCAATCCTGCTCCTGAGAGTTGTGACGTTTCCTTTAATGGGAGCAAGAACAGGCCTCAGAATTGACCAATCTGTTCAGCTCACCTGGTGTTTGCAATGTTGGGAGCTGATTCCTGATGTGCTGGTGGAATATGCACTTTATACCTGCACGGGACAACTTGCTACTTAAAACCTCCATCTCCTGGTGCTGCCTACACCAGGAGTCGGCAACCTTTGGCATGCGGCCCATCAGGGTAATCCGCTGGCGGGCCTCGAGACACTTCGTTTACATTGACTATCTGCAGGCACGGCCCCCTGCAGCTCTGGGTGGCTGCGGTTCATCGTTTCCGGCCAATGGGAGCTGCAAGACACAGCGGGCTGCACAGGGGAAGAGAATTTCCTTACCGCAGTTTCCTTTCTGAGTTAAGTTCACAGAAGGGTTATCTGCAGTCATACCATTTAAGGGAACTTGCAGTTCCCCCAAGTTCCCTACCAGGGCACCAAGACTTGACAGTGAAGTTGATTGCTACAACCTTTAAATCAGTCACATCTACACTACACATGTATTTACCAGGGTTGCCCAGAGGATTCAGGAGGCCTGGGGCAAAGCAATTTCGGGGGCCCCTTGCATAAAAAAAGTTGCAATACTATAGAATACTATATTCTCTTGGGGGCCCCTGTGGGGCCCAGGGCAAATTGCCCCACTTGCC